CTCTCTCTCTCTCTCTCTCTCTCTCTCTCTCTCTCTCTCTCTCTCTCTCTCTCTCTCTCTCTCTCTTTTCATTTCTTTCTTTCTCTCTCTCTCCCTCCTCCCCCCCCTTTCTTGCTCTCCTCCATGTATATGTGTGCCTCTGTCAGTGTGTCACTATGTCTACATCTGGCCTCGTTCCAAAGGAGTAAGGGCCAAAAAATCGAAGATCCTGTGAGAAGCTACACATTGGGATCCCCAATAAACTAAAAGCTTTTCCCTTGCGAACTGATCTTAGGCTCCCAAGGAAAATGGCAAGTGCCAAGTACAAAATCATGAATGAAGATTGAGAAAAAAGCTACGGAGAGAGAGCCAAAGAATCCAACCTATACTCAGAAGTTTTCAACAATGAAGATTTCTCTGGAGGGGAGGAGCCTGAAAACCTTTTACTGACGCTCCTTTCCAATTGACAGAGCGACTCGGCAACTATGAAAATTAAACAAAAAATTGAAAAAATTCGTAGATTAAAAAAAAAACTCAAACCACCCAGGGCCATGGATTGCTGATGAACACCCAATCGATCTTCGACTCAGCGTCTCAAAGTCACGCCAAATTATTACGTCAGCAACATTCGCCCTCCCTGAAGCGATCCTAAACCAGGAAACGCAGAAGATATCCCATCACATGTATTGTCGCGGGGAGTCCTCCATGGAAAAAGGCCACATGGCATCCATCTATCTGTTGCATCGCCAGCTTAAACCAACTCCCTTGCTGGGCAACTGTGGAGACAAGAAAATTCTCAGTTGGTAATTGGTAGGTCTCAACGAGGATCGGAAAACAGGCCCGGCACAGGCTTGGCTGGGTGGTGGCGCAATTTGAAAACAGTCCTCCAAACCTGGTTTGGTTACAATGCCAGCCTAGGCTCGGGGTGCGGCAACCGGAAATGGATGGTGGTTTAATCGAAATCACACTTGAATCGAGCATAACGGTGCCATGGTAGGTCTCAACGACGATCGGAAAACAGGCCCGGCACAGGCTTGGCTGGGTGGTAGCGCAATTTGAAAACAGTCCTCCAAACCTGGTTTGGTTACAATGCCAGTCTAGGCTCGGGGTGCGGCAACCGGAAATGGATGGTGGTTTAATCGAAATCACACTTGAATTGAGCATAACGGTGCCATGGTAGGTCTCAACGAGGATCGGAAACCAGGCCTGGCACAGGCTTGGCTGGGTGGTGGTGCAATTTGAAAACAGTCCTCCGAACCTGGTTTGGTTACAATGCCAGCCTAGGGGCTGGGGGTGCGGCAACCGGAAATGGATGGTGGTTTAATCGAAATCGCGCGCGGATCGAGCATAACAGTGCCATGAACAACATTCTACACAGTAGCACAGCTGGCCGTGTTTCCCGAATCCCAACCACTACCTTCTCACCACCATAGTGATGTGGCAATAATCAGTACACATCATCGTCAACCACTCTTGCCGCATGGCATCCATCTGTTGCACAACCTGACACTTTCCTCGCCTCAGCCTATGGGCCGCCTGCACAGTGTTCCGTCCTGTGTCAGAAACTCGCCGATCCTTTCACCATATGCTCACCATGAGGACATCCCAATCAGCACATCATCGTCCGTAGCACTTGGCATATGGCAGACATCTGCTTCCTCGCCAGCGATGCCCGGACGACACTCCGACATATCAGCAGCATGCCCAGTGTTCGAGACGCTTCCCATTCCCTCCCCCCGATGTTGCTGACATCATGATGATGATGCCAATCGGCATCTCATCCTCTGCAGTACTCGCACAATCCCCAGAAAAGCTACGAGCCTAAGATTCGTGTGAACCTAAAAAAAAGAAAAGTCAGCGAAAGGCAGCAACGGTCCTATCTCCATGAACTGTCGAAATAGAGACAGACCAAAGTTCGAATCCACATGGAAAAGAGGAAAAGAAAAGTCAGCGAAGGGATCTGCAACACTTTTGCACAATCCCAAACAAAGCTAGGAACCGAAAAAGAAAAGCCAGCGAAGGACCAACGGGCCTAGCTCAGTTGGTACACCCATGAACTACTGAAATACAGACTCAAGTTCGAATCCAGATACTATCAGTTGTTGGACAGAATAAAATCATTCTGGAATCTGGAATCTGAATTGGCTACGGAGTCGGGACGGTCAATTCAATGATATCTCACGGCCGTCACCCTTAAAAAAAAAAAAAAAAAAAAAAAAAAAAAGCCAGCAAAGGGAAAGAAAAACTCTCTTTCCTATTTGCCAGAAGCCTTAGCTGGAATTTGCATCTTCCATAAACCTGTCAGTCTGCTTTGGTGATCGGCGCGATAAACAGACCGTAGAACATTTCAGACGCGAGGTCTCAATCTAGGTGGTTTATAACAACTGCATATCCGATGTAAGGTAACAAATGGACCTTCACGGCATCCGCTGAACAAGGTCAGAAAATTGCTTCGAGTCGTTGACTGACATATTTCATGCAGCATCAAGCAAGCATATGCCTTAACGCACGCCGGTTTTTCTGGCAGGCTGTGGCAGCACCTAGCCTGACTTAAAAGTTAAAAGTCAAAACATACCAGACCATGGATGGATACGGTCAACTTACAAAATGTTAGCAGACTACGTACAGCATGGTAGCAGACTATCTCCGGGAGAAAATAACTATCAGACAGACTACGTACACCATGTTAGCAGACTATCTCCCGGAGAAAAGAACTATCAGTCTATCACCATATAAGAGGGATCAAAACTGTGGTGCAAAGTGAACCTGTAAGTGCGAAAGTGTGACCAATTGACTATTACAGCCCACATTCCGCAACAACGATAACCATGGAACGGATTTGTAGGCCGCAGGCGAGAGTACATATTGTAAATTAGTATCACAGGCCGGTATGTACAAAAGGCCTGCTTGCTGACAGATGGAATCTATGCACATATGATGTGGGTAAAAAATCCAAAGCTGTGGAAGAAATACAGCCCACGCAGCGAGCAGCCTTCATAGGACAAGCTCTAAATCGTCCTAGAGGGTGTGCACGCGTACAGTTGAAAATTGAAAGGAAAAAACTTGCAAAAAAGAGCTGAAAAGAACTGCATGTGGATCTTGAGGATGAGTAGTACGATAACATTGTCACTGACGAGGTGTAGAACATTCTTCAGTCCGCAGCATGATGCCTGCAATCATTGGCCACAGCCCCCTCCTTCCTTTCCTTCCATTCCTCCCACCCCTCCCCAACTAAAGGAGGGAACTTTGAAGCTTTACATCAACAGACCTGCTTTGAAGTGCAGCCTGGACTGTGAACTACTGTCCTCTCCCCGACTTCATGCACAATACAAAAGGGTCATGCCATGTATGCGCATGAAGCTTAAACCACCACTACCTCAGAGGCCCTTTTTGCCGAGGTGGAGAAGAACTGCGCACCAAGCTTTGTCGAAGCGCCAGCGCGACCTTTTATCCTTGTTTGGCTAGCACCGCCAGCCATTTTGGTCGGCCAGCCCCTGGTCTCCGAAGAATGCGGTATAGGACCATAAATTATATTCACGACTCAGCCTTCTCCTCCAAAAGGTAGTGGTGGTTTAAGTAGTCGGTTAGATCCCATAAATAGAACGGCGCGACTAAGCAAACTGAGCGGAACTTTCTAGATTTGAGTGGAAGCTCGGGTGCTTCTGGAAGATAGCCAAAATGATAGCAGCATCTTCACAGCCATTCAGCTAGCCATACGTAACCAGCAGCAGACATCCAACCCTTCTCCTGGGGCCATATGAATGTCATCGTGGCAAATACCCTGCCGGATGTCATGTACACGAGGACACATTTACCACATGAAGCAAGCACGACCATGTCTATGTAACTGATGTACAGTTAGAGTCCAAAAGAAGATGACACCTTGGCAGCTCTACCACTCGCACCCCCAACCTTACCCATGCCCAAGACTGCCACAACTATGATCGACGACAAATCAGTTGCAGTTACAGGAGTTGATGGGCACAGCGAGCAGTCAAAACCCCGTCATCACGTCAGCTCCCTGTAAGAAGAGCCCCGTGAATCAACACCGAATCTTCCATCCAACTTCAAGGGCTTCTCGGCGCATTCCCGTGGGAGCAAGAGATTTAGATAAGGCCATAGACCCCATAACCGCAGTGTCTGTGTCCACGATGCAGCTCGAACAAGAAGTGCTGATCTCATGTCTTTGAATCCCATGCTTTCGGTACTGGAAACTTTCCGCTCTTCCTCTGCACACCCATGCTGGTTTTGAATTTGTGAAGTGCTCAATTGGCAGCCTGTATCGGAGGTGCTGACGTCTGAGGACTCATGATCTGCACAACAACCAGCCTCGCACCTGCCAACCTCCGTTTCGTCGTCGACAGTTTGGACATTATGATTCTCCACGGCTGTTAACGACTTACATTGCTCAGCCTCCGGACGATCACTTACGAGTTGGCCAGAACACCTGTTATCATCCGTTGCCTTGTTCCCAGTTTGGCCATCACTTTTGTCTGGGTCTGATAATGAATCGCTTTGGTCAGTGTCTAACAGACCACTTTGCGGTCTGCAAGAACTAGGAGAAGGGCGACCTTTACAGCATCTGAAGTCATGAAAATTGTTGCTCCCGTGCTTGTCAGGTCCATGGGGCACTGTCTGACTTATTATGGCTGGCGCAGCCGCTCCCACCAATAAGAAACCCCACGTCCATGCTAAGCTATTTGAAACACAGGCATCATCAGCCTTACATGATTTACATGATCGGACACACCCCTCTCTGAACCCCACATACCCAGACATTGCAGCCGTCTGTTCCTGCTGGACATCGTCCTTGGGCTTGTTCTTGTCATTGCACATCACATCGAGGCACGGAGTGGAAGGATAATAATCTTTCCCTCCACATTCGACTTCATCTACTGATTCTACAGGTTCCACAGGCCGCGGCATCGTTACGAGTTCTACTTCCTTGAGAATATGGGTGCAAGAGTGCAAAGACATTTTGCAAAAGAGCATAAAACTGGAAATCTCCCAGTGACAGTTCCCACTCGTCCTCACCCACTGATTGAGGCAATCATTTGTCTCCACAAACCCATGAAGAGATCTATTAGCTTCCTTCTCTCTTGACATGGGTGCAATCCCTGCTGACCCAGTTGATCCATCGCCAGATGGCCTGTTCTTCACCAAGCCTGATCGTCCGAGACAGTCGACATGAAGCACTGCAACAGGCACTCGTGGTGGCTCTGCCCCATCGTTAAATCGTATTCTCAGTTTCAAAGGCCGAGGAGTCGGAGGCACAAGGGGCTCCATGACAAAGGGATGCTGGAGCAGTTCACAAGCTGACCACCGCGCCGACGGGTCATGGATCAAACACTTGCGCAGAAAGTCAATTGCAGTCGGCGACAGATTGCCAGGCAGCTCAGGAAGTTCTTCGCCACAAGCTAGCTTGTACAGAACCACAACTGGATCAGTGAATGCCCAAGGTGCACTCCCCGTGGCCATCTCAATGACTGTACAACCAAGCGACCATATGTCAGAAGGAGGCCCCTGCTCTACCTGCTGAACTACTTCCGGTGCCATCCAATAGACGGTTCCTCTCAGGCTAGTCGAACGGCGGATAGACAGGAAATCCCGACCGTTGATCATGTCGTCGCCCACTCGTTTTGAAACCCCGAAATCGACAAGCTTCACTATCACTTCATCATCAAGGCCAGCTCCATTCGGGATGGGGATTCTGGACTCTAATACCCAACCCCCTCTCTCTCTGCGCTCGATGGATCTGCCACTTGAGCGGAGACGCGGAATTCCGTAGTACTTGCTGGAAACAACAAGAATATTCTGGCCTTTGATGTCAGCATGGACAACTTTTGCTTCCTGATGCAGATATCGGAGACCCTTGAGAATGCCACGGGTATACCAGCGAACCAGAGGCTCTGACAGCTTTCCGCCTAACTTCTTCATCACATCAACAACGCTTCCACCAGGAACATACTCGAGGAAGAGGTTTTGCATTTCACTCCCATCCTCCCATGTCCGGTCTGCACCAAGGCACTTCACAATGTAAGGCGAGGAGAGTGATGCCATGATCTGATGCTCATTATGCAATGCCGATATCAGTTCGTCGACAAGCCTATTGTCCCCACCACCATTGCATTTCACAGACTTCACAGCAAACACATGACCGGTGTCCTTCATCACAGCAAGATTGACAGTCCCGAACCCTCCAGCTCCAAGTAATTTCCCACGTGACCAGGCTGGAGTAGCACCCCTCTCATTCCCATACAACTCCTGCCACCCCTCTGGCAACACCGTTCCCTCCTCGAGACTCCCAGCCCTGTCACGTTCACCAACCCTCGTGCACGGCTCCATGGCATGCCTTTCTTTATCCTACTCGGAGAGAAGAACGGACAGAAGATACGGGAAACAACAGTCTCTGACGCCCACACAATTGCATGAACAAACAGGCGAGTCAGAGGCATCAGAAAGCCGAAAAAAAAAGAAAAAAAGGAAAGAGCAGATGGACAACAAGCCACTGCTCAGTTGGTACACCCCTGGACTGTTGAAATACTGACCTAAGTTCAAACTCCACTCGAAGCAGATGAATGAAATACCGCAATTCGGAATTACCGAGTGCCGGTCAATTCGATGATGATATCTCAAGGCCGTCGTGGCGTTGCCCTTTATGGAAAAAACAAAAGAGCAGACGGACTACAAGCCAGTGAAAAGATCAGGAAGGGACTGCCAAACGAGCAACGCCACAGACAGCTTCTTCTTTCTCTCTCACCAAACCAAATTGTCTTGCTTGCCCAATCATATATAATTATGAATTTTAATTCTGAGCACACAAGTCACACAAGTTTCCAACTCGCACCCTAACATCGACCTCCGCAATACAGCATTGAATGCCCGGTAGGTAGACTGGCCACGAAGCGAAATTGCCTCGCTCGATCAACCGTATACAATTTGCTGATAAGGATGCGAACAAATCAGCTGACCGCCCAGTGGTTGCGTAGTCGACTCTCCGACCGACCTACAAGTGCCAAGCACCCAAGTAGAACGATCAGAAAAACACCTCCATTTCTCCAACCGCAAGGTAACAAGGAACAAACAACAAACACAGCCACATCTAAAATCCACAGACGCCTTTCCTTGAGGTGAGCATCCATCTCACAAACCCGTTGTTAAATGACGTCAAGGATGTCAACTTAAAGGGCAATCCCTGATTTGAAGTGTACGTATACTGTACAAAACACTGGTTTGAGAGCAAATGCAGGACACTGACTGATGACTGCCGGTTCACACCATCAACTACCTCCCTTCCTGCTGCATGAGGAGTCAAATTTTCTCCCTCCATCTGCAATTGCCATCCTCATTGGATTGCTGACACTCTTCTACCAAAATGACAAAACAAATGACAACGCAACAATTGTCATAACAACTATTAAGAAGTAAATAAACTTTAATAAAGCTAGAAGCCCCTACCATCCATACCCGGTTTCGAGTACCATCCATACCCGGGTTCGACTACTTCACAGAACTCTGAGAATCGTCGCCTTCATCATACGACTGCAGCAGACTGCCCGACATTATTCAACATTATTCTACGGAGTCTACACCTACTTCCAAAAATAATAGGATAGGATCACATCATCAAAGCATTCCTTCGAGCACATCGCGGTCGAAAGGTACCACTTAAGTTCACCTGTCTCTCTCTCAGCAGAGTTTAAACTTTAACTTTAACAACTTTTAATTTAAGCTCACCTGCAGCACAGTTTGACTCAGCACACTACAAACCAGGGTCTGAGGGGAGAGAAACAAACTCAACCGCACTGCGAAGGGAGACAAGAAATGTCAAACCAGTGTTAAGACGCATGGGCAAGGCTGCATCATCCTGAGCTGATGGTTCTCTCTCTATGTCACTGATAGCGCACTCTGTTCAGGGAACCTCTGGAAGTAGAGATTCCCCAGCAAATCTGGAGTCTTTGAGGAGCTGTTGCAATCACAATAAACACAATAACAGAGAAACAGGCACCAAAACATCACACAGAGTTATCAATAACTATGTAGACTACTTGATACTCCTGAAACTTACTGAAGATATTAATACAGAATTGTACTGTTTATCAGAGTTGCACAGGCCGCTGTCGGCGCCCCTTGATTGGTCAGCTGCCAACCAGCCGATCGGTCAGCTGGTTGGCACCTACCGGTCGGCGGTTGTCGGCACCCCAACTTTTTTTTTCTTTTT